GCTGCAGAGGTCCATTCAGCCTTCTTTTCTCGGCTGGCTTCCGTCTGGGCCAGGCGGTTGGGGTGCCCCTGGGAACTCGGGAGCAGCCTGCCGTGCAGTCGTCTCTGTCCCCTTCATGTTCACCCTTGCGTTTCAGAGCACCACCGGGGGCTGGCACAGGACCCAGGCCACCCTCAGCTGCCTCTTCTGACCGGCACAAGAAAAGGAGTAGCAGTGTCGCCTCCACTCTGGGGCTCAGGAAGTTCTTCTCAGCCCTGGGCCAGAGCTCACGGCCCAAGCTGGCCAAGTCGCGCAGCTACAGCGTAGAGCAGCTGCAGGCCACCACGCCTGGCCCAGCCCCGCACACCAGGGCCCCATCACTACAATCCCTGCATCAGGTGAGTCCCAGGGCTGAGGCCAGTCGTAGGGTGGCCGCCATCGGAACAGAAGGTGTCCGAAAAGTGCCAAGAACACTACCCCTGGAGCCCAAGGTTGACGAAGGGAAGCTGTGGGCACCCCACAGTTGACTCCACAGTTGACCCCTGAGGCCCAGGCTCCCTGGCTGCAGGCTGGGTGGGAAGCATCCCACACTCCATGCTCCCTCAGCTGCTCGAGTCCTGGGCTCATCCTAGGCTCCTCCCGCTCGGTCTCCCTCTGCCATGTCCTGGAGAGTGGATGGCCTGGACAGTCCAGAACCTTCTCCATGGTCATGGTGACTCCCTAAGGGCCTAACCCCAATTTCCTCTTAGTCCAAGCACATATCACTTCACACCTGGGTCACCTCAATAGCCTCTTGACCAGCCTCCCTGGCAAGTTCCTCCTCCATGTGGCTTCCAGAACGGTCTTCTGGATAAGCAAACCTGGCCATGTCATGCACTGCTGAATGCCTGTCACTAGTCTCTGGTCACCTTTGCAGTGAAGTTGAGACTTCCATGAGCAGAGTGTCTCTCTGATCTGTTCATCACGTCCTATTCACAACTGTCTGACCTGAAGTGTCCCTCCCGCCTTCTCCACCTACTGGCTCTGCTCACTCATCAGTATTCAGGTGGGGTCCAGCAGGTGGCATGGTGATTAAGGCGCTGGACTCACACATGGCTGACCGCAGTTCAAGTCTCTGACCTGGTGGCTCTCTCTCTCTGTGTGTGTGTGTGTGTGTGTGTGTGTGTATATATATATATATATATATATATATATCTGGTGAGTACACATGCTCTGTAGCAAATTGAAAAATAATGATAATGATAAAATTTAAGTAATTCTTTTAAAAAAGAAAAAAGAAATTCAGGCAGTCATGCCCTTCAGGAAGCTGTTTCCGACCTTGGTCAGGCTGAGTGGGGCTGCTGCTCTGTGACCCTCCTCACCGGTGCTGTCCTCCTGTCTGGAACTTGCCATGTGGCATTTTATTTGGTTTTGTCTCTGCCCTGGCGGGAACGTGCATCCTTCAGTAGATCACTTGATCTCTGTATCCCAGTACTTACTGCAATGGCGAATTACCATATATGCGGTCGTCCAAAGCTCATGGAAAATGTGTATCATGAAAACCTATGCCTGGATTCCTTTTTTTCCTTGTATTTTTTAATTTGCCAGAGAGTGTATACGCTTGTCAGAGAGAGACAGAGAACTGGGGAGAGGGGAGAGAGAAAGCACCCCGCAACAGGACATGATCACACCACCTCCCTTCTTCATTCCTGTTGGGATTTGGGGCACACGTGCACATGCGCCCTGTGCGTCTTTCAAGCCTCCAGGGCTGAGCCTTGAACTACAGTCAGCCATGTGGGATCCAGCTCCCTTAACTACCAGGTCATGGGGCTCGCCTGAATTTTAATATTTGTACACCAAAATAAACTCGCACTTTAGTTTCTTTTTGCTGTGAATTCTGCGTAGCCCCAGTACACACTTGGCACACACCGGCCAGCCGGCTAAGGGGGCGAGGCAGTGATTGATGGCCACAGCAGCCACAGAGCTCCTTCCTGGGTGCCTGAGGGCCACAGCCACAGCCAGGTCTGGGCGACGCCTGTGCTGTTCCAGGTAGATTCCAGGTGCCGTGTTTCCCCCGTTTCCTGCCCACCTTCCCTGGGCAGTGTGAAGGAGGAGGCTGGTTTGGGGCATCAGAGCCCCTCAGGCTGCAAGAGGGAAGAGAATGCAAGCTGACTGGAGATCCGGTTGGTCTTCTTTCCCCAGGATAGTACCTGCTGTGCAGGTTGGTGCTCCCTAAGCATTGGCTGGTTGAATGAATGGAAGGCAGAGAAATTGCCAACGGCTGTGAGTGGCCGAGCAAGGCAGCCGCACACTGAGCCCAGAAACCCGCTTTTCTCAGTCAGATTAGTCTGGTGTGTGTCTGAGAGGGGCACTCAGATTAATTGCCAGTAGACCTTCTGTCACAAGGGGAACAACACCCTTAGTGAAATACAAGGGGACTGGGACCAGCAGATGGCATAGTAGTTACATCACTGGACTCCCACGTGACTGTGGTTCGAGTCCCGGACCCGGTGGCTTCAAACTCACACTAGGTATGTGTGCGTGCATGCCCAAGATCCTGAGAGGAGAATGAAAGAGGGATTGAGGCATGGCCATCCCCCCCCCCCGGTGGGGGTGATTTCTCACTTTCTGTCTTTCTCTCTGGTGAACAAACACACTCTTCAGCAAAAATCTAAAAATAATAATAAGAAGAAGAAGAAAGAAAAATACAAGAAATACAAGAAGGCTTAAAAAGTTTGTGCTTATAGAGAATTAAAGTATGAGCTTATTTTTGATGAAAAAACTATTGAAATCCATGGCATTGTTTTTTCATAGTAGATCTTTTTCATGAGCTTTTTGAAGAATCCTTGTAAACAAAGTTTGTTCTCAATAGAAGCTGAGTGTGGACAACAATGAAAAGTAGACCAGCCAAGAAGGAGTTGCAGGGGGAGGGGGGAGAGGACTGAGTGAGAGAAAGGAATTTTGTTTTTTGTTTTTGCCACAGGTGATGTGCACTCACACAGAAAGAGAGAGAGAGAGAGAGAGAAAAACACCCCCCCCCCCCCCCAGCGAGGATGTCACACCACAGTCCTTTGTCCTTGGGATTTTCGGTATGCATGCACACACTCCTGGCATATTTTTCAAGCCTCCAGGCCCAAGATTTGAACCATGAAGTCAGCCATGTGGAATCCAGCTGCCTTAACCATCATGCCACTAGCTGACATCTTAAAGAGTTTTTTTTTTTAAAAAGGAATAAAATTTCAAGAAGGGATTCTGTCTAATCCAGAAATACTTATGACACCCATTGGGTGCCGTCTTTCCTTTGGCAGGCGGGGCTGCCTGGTGCCTGGTGGGAGCGTAGCCTGGGTTTCATTTGCCTTCCTGGTGGATGGTTTTCCCCACTCTCCCCTGAACATGCTGGCTGCTCCCATGTCCTCAATGAGGGGTTATGGCCCTTTCTCCTTGACCTTTTCTGTTTGTTTGTTTGTTTGAAATTTTATTTTTATTTTAAATTAATCAATTTGTATTAATTCATTGAGCATTGTCACAGCATACAAAATGTGATTTCCCATCCAGAATATACTGTATAGTGGCTTAATAATACATGTTATCAATAATTTTATATTTCTAGTTTCATGTATATATGTGTATATATATATATATATTTTTTTTTTTTCCCCTGTTTCTCACCCTCTGCCATTTCCCACCCTCCTCCCACATCATCTCTGGTGTCTACAGTTGTTTTCCATTCCTTTTTCCCCCCGACATTTTATTGATTCACAAAATCTCTTAAATAATCTAACCACTTTCAATAGCAAGTTCAGCTGGTATGTATGTATCTGTGAATGCATGTCTGGCTTTAGGCGTGAAACTCTGAGTAGAATGAACTCTGGGTGCTATAAAGTAGCACCCAGCTGATGCTATAGAGCTTACAGCAGTCATTAAATAGGTATTTTTAAATATATATTTTAATTTCAAGAAAAGCAGTTTTAACTTTAATAAGTCAAAATCAAAGAAATGCTAAGAGACCCTTGTTTAAAACTTAAAACCAGGAAACAGGTTAAGATTCTGTTCAAATAGTAGGTACATGAACCTGTCGGCAGCTCAAGACAGGACAAAAATCCTTGAAACTGGAAAACAAAGCCTGGAAGTAAACGCTTTAGTTTTAGTCCTAAGTTTCAGCAATGTTTTAGTCAAAAGTCATAAGTTTCTATTTCACCAGTTCAGTCTCATATACTTCTGTCGTGGTCTGATCTTCCAGATTAAATTTGGGATATAATAATCAACTCCTGGCTTGTCCCTATGATTAAGTTGACCATTTTCTTAGTTGTTTTTGAACTCTTATTTCTGTATGTCTGTGTTTAATTTTCCTGGTATGGCACTCCCTTTAGAACTTCTTGGAGATCTGGTCTGGTGTTGGTAAATTCTTCCAGATTTTGTTTATCTGAGAATGTTGGGTTTTTTAATTTTTTAATTTTTTTTTTTTCCCATATGAAGGGTAATCTTGCCAGGTACAGAATTCTTGGTTGAAATTGTTTTTCCCTTAACACTTTGAATATAGTTTCCCATTCTTTCCTCACTCACATTGTTTCTGGTGAGAGGTCAGCTGTTAGCCTGATGGGCTAGTCTTTGGAGGTAACTTGATGTTTCTCTCTTGCCAATCTTAGTATCTTATCTTTGTCTGTGGTTTTGGTCAATCTGGCTATGCTGTGTCTTGGAGAAGATCTTCTTGGGTTGATTTTATTTGGGGTCCTCTGTATTTCTTCGGACTGAACCTTTGAATGCCTCTCTAAGTTTGGAAAATTTCCTTCTAGAATGTCATGGAATAGATTATCAATTATTAGTCTCTTCGCCTTCTGGGATGCCAATTATCCAGATGTTTGGACGTTTGATGGTATCTAGTATTTCTCGTATATTATTCTCATTTTGGGGGACAATTTTTTCAGTCTTTGTGGTGGATTTTTCTAGTCCAGCGATTCTATCTTCTACATCTGAGATTTGATTTTCTGCATGATCTAGTCTGCCTTTAATACTTTCAAGGGAGTTTTGACTTCCTGTATTATAGCCTTCATCTCTAACAGGTCCATTTGATTCTTTTATGGTGTGTATTTCCTTCTTCAGATCTTACAAGAATTTCCGCACCTCCTGGAACTTGTCAGCTCCTTTCTCCTGCCTCTTCCGCAGTTCATTGTCTCTCTTCTCTTCCATCTCTGTTAGCTTTGTTGCTATGAATATTTTAAATTCTTTATCTCACATTTCTGCGAGTTTCATTGTACTGTCTGAGGATGAAGAAGAGTTATTCTTTTCCCTTGGAGGAGAAGTATTTCCTTGCTTTCCCATATTTCTTGTGCCCCTGTGGTGATTTCTAGTCATCTGATGGACTGTGCATTTCTTCCTAAATCCTGAAGTTCAATCTGAGTGTTCAGAGGTGTGCAGAAGGAGGTGATCTGCAATCTCTCTTCTGTTCCATTTTTCACTCTTTGTGCATCAGATTCCGTGGGAATTGAGGAATGTTCTGACCTTAATAGTATTTAGACGTTTGGATACTGCTCACTTGGACCTGTCTAGACATTCAGTGCATGGAGGTAGAAATGAATCTGGAGGGAGAAGTCTCAGCAGAAAATCATTTTTAGTCAGTGAAAGCAATATTTCACAGCTCAAGTTCAGTAGCCATCTCCTCCCCTGACCTTTGAACCTGTACCTGGAAGGCTCTCTTCTTCCTTCCCCTCTCCTGTTTCCCTGGGAAACTCCTGCTTGTTCTGAGGTCTAAGTTCAACATGACTTCTTATACAACACCCTCTGGGCTTGGAGCTGAGATCAGGCCCCTCTCTTCATAAGCTTAATAATGTGCCTGCCTTCTTGAGAGCATGTCTTGGCCCATCCAGGCTACTATAACAAAAGGCCATTAACCCAGTGGCTTATAAAACAGTGAGAATGAAGTTTTTCACAGTTCTGGAGGCTGGAAGTCCAAAGTCAGGGTGCTGGCAGAATCAGCATCTGCTGAGGGTGTCTGTCTATCCTCCTAGATGACTTTCTTTTTGCTGTAACCTCACCTATAGAAAGGGCAGGAAGCTCCCTGGGCCTCTTTTGTAAGGGCATGAATTCCACTCAGGAGGGCCCCCTCCCTATGACCTTCTCACTTTCCAAAGCCCACCTCCTTGGGCTTTAATATGTGACTGTGGGGGGACGCAGATTTCAGACCGTAGCAGCATAGATTCCCAGTGTGACAGGCCTGTGTGTGATATACAAGTCTGCCTCTCCCGGCCTCGTTCCTCACCCCACCTTCAGAGCTGCCTCCTCATCAGGGCCGTCTGAAACCTGGCTCTGACCTTGTCACTCTTCACATCACTCAGTGGCTCCTTAGCAGCACATGGGGTCCTGCCAGGCCCGTCTCCAGCCCATCTCCCACCTCTGCAGCCTTGTCGCCCAAGTGTGAGCTCTTCTGCTGTCCCCAAGGTCAGAGCCTCTCTCTGCGTCCTCCACACATCTGTACCTTTTTCTTAATGAGGGATATTTTTTATTTTTAAAATTTTTAATTTAATTTTCTTTTATACATTCAATCACATTATTTGTACTTTAAAAAAAATTTAGAGAGATATTTTTGCTGTAGGGTGGATTTGTTTGCCAGAGAGAGAGAGAGAGAGAGAGACAGACAGAAAGTGAGAAATCACCCCCAAGGGGGAATGGTCACACCTTAATCCCTCCTCCTCCATTCTCCTCTTGGGATTTTGGGCATGCAGGCACACGTACCTGGTGTGAGTTTAAACTGCCAGGTCCAGGACTCGCACCACAGTTGACTACGTGGGAGTCCAGCGATGTAACCGTTACACCTTCTGCTGGTCCCATCTGTGCTTTTAACCTTGCAGCTACAATGTATATTTAGAGGTCTTTTTTTTCCCCCTTTATTCTTGATAGAACACACGCATGTGCACATGAGTGTGATGGAGAGAGGGAGAGATGTGAGTACCAGCACCCTCGACAGGGCCTGTCACACTGTAGGCCCCTTCCTCGTGCCCATCTGACCTTGGCCACTCTCACACGTGTGGTGAGTCTCAGGTTGGCAGGGCCAGGGATTCGAACTGCTGTTGCCAGGTGGGCTCGAGCTTCTCTTGGGGATCACTTCACTGCCGCACCACAGCTCAGGAGCTTTTACCTCATCTGTGTTCATCCCTGCCTCAGTGTTCTAGGAACTCCCAGAGGGGTACTGTCTTGTTCGTTTTTTTAAGGTGACATACCTAACTACAACCATTTTTTTTTCTTTTTTTTTTTGTGGGGGAAAGAGAGCACACAGGTGGGAGGGGAGACAGAGCAGAGGCTTCCTGCCTCAGCCTCCACACGTCACACTCGCCTCTTTAAGTTGAGCGGAGAACTGACTCTAGGCCTCCCTGTGGCCTCAGCTGTGCTCTCCCACTTGTGCCACCACAGCTGGGCATTAAACATTTTTGAACAAAGGTGACCATAAGAGGGAAACTAAAGAATTACAAAATAATGTTCAAGATTTTTTTAACAAAAAAATCTCTTTTTTTTTTTGAGAGGTTTTTGCTATAGGGCACTTGCACTTGCCAGAGAGACAGAAAGCGAGAAATCACCCCCCAGGGGGGATGGCCACGCTGCAATCCCTTCTCCTCCATTCTCCTGTCGGGATCTTGGGCACACACGCACATGCATCTGGCGTGAGTTTAAGCCACCGGATCTGGGACTCGAACCGTGGTAGACTACATGGGAGTTCAGTGACACAGCCATTACACTAACTGCTGGTCCCCCAAAGTCTAATTTTCTTAAGGAAATAACTAGCACTAAATTATTTTACCTAAAATTAAAAACAAACTTGATGCCTCACGTGGCCTCTCCATCTCCTTCGGTGATTACTGCTGAAAAAAAAATGACATAAGTGCCCCCGTCACTTTCTTTCTTTCTTTCTTTTTTTTTTTGCTATAAAGTCACTTACTTGCCAGAAAGAGACAGAGAAAGAGAGAAATTGCCCCCTGGGGAGGGGATGGGGCTGGCCACAGTCACTTCTCCAGTCTCTTCTTGGGATGCACCTGGTGTGACTTTTCAAGCCAGGTCTGGGACTGGAACCACATAGCCATGTGGGATCCAGTGTCTTAACCGCCACGTCTCCTGCAGGCCCAGTCACCATCACTTTCCTAGAGGGTCCTCTGGTTCATGCTTGGGGCCAAGTCCTTTATCAACCCCTCTGAGAAGTGGCTTTTCTCACCTGCAATATTGGGCCTTCCCCACCAGGTGTCACCCTCTCATCAACGTCGAAAAGCTGCCTCCTTTCAGAACCTCCATTCTCTGCTGAGTGGCAAGGGGGACCGGTCCAGCCTGTACCTGGTTGGGAGGCCTGGGGACAATGCAGCTGGCAGGTAAGATGGGCACAGATGGTTTGGAGGACAGATTCAAAGAGAGGACAGGGGACCTGTATGCCTAACTCCTTCCAACAGCCTCAGCTGCATGGCCTTCCCAGGGCTTCTCATGCCTGCCCTCAGCAGATCTGGTGTGGGGAGGATGAGGTGCCCACGGGTCTTGGAGCCCACTCAGAGGCCCTCAATGCCCTCATCTGTGCAGCTGAGCACCGAGGCGGCCTGGGCTGCAGGAAGTGGGCAGGTTCCTTTCCTCTGCCCCTCTGCTGTTGGTCACATCTTGCACACAGAACACTCAGGGAGTTTCCTTAGCCCGGCTAAAGATCTGATTAAACACCCAGACACAGGGATCCCCCAAAGAGGCCTAGTAGAGAAACCCCATCCTCTCTGCGAGGCCATCTAGGCTGACGGCTCTTACCTGTGACTGTGGAGCGCCTTCGAGGAGTGCAGAGAACCCCCTGAAAGTTGCATATACAATTACAGTTTTTGTCAGATTCTCCCAGAGGTCTCTGTACCCCAAAGATGTAGAAGCCACTGGTCTTGGTGGGGGAGGGGCTTCCTGGTGACACCCGTGGGAGCCTGCTGGTCTCGGCTGCAGCCTCGGGTCAGTGAAAACCCTGAGAGGCCTCACTGGGAGTGATGACTGAGCCCCGGTGCCCAAAGTGCTGTGCCCTCACTGTGACCCGGTTCCCTCGCAGGCTGGCCAAGGCCCCCGCCCGGCGGGCCCTCAGCGTGGAGGACGTGAGTGCCCCCAGCCTGGCTCGCACAGTGGGCCGCGTGGTGGAGGTGTTCCCAGATGGCACCAGCCAGCTGCAGCTACAGCGCTCCCCTGAGGGTACTTTCGGCTTCTGTGTGGCCTCTGGCAATGGGCGCCGGGACTCAGGTATGCCCCCCCCAACTTCCCGGACCCCACAGCCCCAGACCTTAGCAAAGCAAGGCAGTGCCTTGTGACTGGGGTCAGAGGGTTTCTGGCCCTCGGCTGGGCGGTGGGTCTCATCCCGCCTTTGGGGGATCATTGTGGATTGTGGAGGCTGCCTGGGTTTCTGCACCTGAGGAGCCTTGGCCCTGGGCAGCTGCTGCTCCGAGGCGGCCTGAGGTGGCTGGAGAGGTGGGAGGCAGCTTTCTTCTCTGAGCCTCTTTTCAGGGAGCTGAGGGAAGCTTCTGCTTGCTGGCCTCTGGGCTCTCTCACGTAAGGTGTGTCCAGCCGTGCCCTGCTTGGCTCTGGGCTGCAAGGATGTCTGGGCACGTGCAGTGTGCCTGCCCGTCTCTGCCCTGCCCGCGTCCCTCCCTCAGGGCAAACTGTTCCGGTGTAGCCAGGGCCCTGGCCGTGGTGCTGCTGGGTCCTGGCCGCACGCTGGTGGGGGCTGGGCAGGCCGGACCCATACTGTGCTCTGGCTCTGTCTCGGTCTCGCTGTCCTCAGTCTCTTGGGATGACAAGACTTTCCCAGGCCTTTACCAGACCTGTGGTCCAGAATGCCTCTCAGGGCAAAAGACTGAGAGTCCCCAGGTGAGAGGACTAGGGAAGGGGCAGCTGTGCTGGGGTGGGGCAGGAGAGCGGAAGAAGAGCGGGAAGGACAGGCACAGCAGACGCCTGGAAGCCCCAGGCAGGGCTCTGCGAGGAGGGAGGAGGGCGGGGCCCTGGCTCTGATGTTCCAGGTAAAGGTGTTTAGCCCGTCCTCCGCCAGGTTGTCCTCCGCCAGGTTTGCTGTGGGCGGCGTGGATTTGCTCATCGCTTCTTGGGTGCTGTTTCTGGAAATACCAGTGGTCAGTTATGACCTATTTTTTCTGTTTTTCTATGCAAAATGTGTCATGAGTTTTCCAACCCAATATATACTGAGCACCTACTATGTGTTGTAGATACTGGGAATGCAGCAATAAATGGGGCAGACAAAATCCCCATCCTTGTGAGTTTGCATCCCAGGGAGGGAGCTCGGCCATACACCCACGCCTGGCCGTTTACACCCGCTGTTATGTATGTTGACAATGACGTGAGAAGCCCTAAGACACGATGAGGGTGTCTTAGGAGGGTGGGCAGCTCAGGAGGGTGGGCGGCTTTTCTGAGGAAAGGACATGAGTAGAGGCGGGAGAGTGAGGGAGGAGCCAGGAGGTGAGTGGGGGGAGCGCATTCCAGGCAGTGAGCAGCAAGGGCAAAGGCCCCGAGGTGGGAAGAGAAGCAGGGAGGTCAGGCTGGACGCTGCAGGGTGGGGGAGCTGGGCGAGGCTGGGCCCGAAGGCTCAGAGTGGAGGACGCTCCTCTGTGCTGCTAGCTGGCCTGCTGTGTTGAGAACAGGGTGAGGGCATCCCGGCCTGGGCCTGGCTCCGCCAGCCCAGCCTGGGGGTAGGGGGACCCCAGCCAGCAGGCGCCGGGCACCTGGGAAGTATCTGGATTTTAATGCAGTCTTTGTCCCCCTCATCTGCAATGCGAGCCCACCTAGGCCATTCCCACTGGGGACCTGATCACCAGAGCCGGGGCCATCGCGGGTCGAGGGGCATGTCTGCTGTGAGAGGAATGAAGTCAAGCCGCGTGTGTGTGTGTGTGTGTGTGTGTGTGTGTGAGAGAGAGTGCCCGTGAGCACCTCCCCACGCACTGCCGGGGCCCCGTGTGTTGGCCTGTCTCACCCCTCCCGTTTGCCTCCGCAGGGCTCTACGTGCAGGCCATGGCTGACTCGAGCACCGCCAAGCTGTACTCGGGGCTGCTGGGGGTGGGCGATGAGATCCTCGAGGTGAACGGGGCCAAGGTTGCAGGGCTGGGCCTGGCCCACATCCAGGAGCTCCTGGCCCATTCGGAGACTTTGTCAGTCCGAGTGCTGAGGCAGAGGCCTGTCCCGCGGTGACCTGGAAGTGCTGCCGCCTTTGCTGTCGCCTCTCAGAAGCCCTGAACCACCCTGGGGGTGCGGGGGTGGCCGGGAATGCGCTGCCTGTAGCTGCTTTGTCAACTGAAAACACTGATCGAGGTGGCATCTACACGCTGGGCTGTGGCAGGCCTTCTGTGAACGAATGCCTCGGGGGAGGCACAGAGCCTGCGGTGTGTGGTCGGTCATTCGTGCCGGGCTGGGGAGGCCTTTCCATGCCCGAGTGGCACTGACACCTGGTGGGGAGGGGGCTCAGTGAGTCCTCTGCTTGGTCCCTGAGGGTGAGCCTCACCCCCAGATGCCACTCGCTGTCCCAGGCTGCCCAGGCTGACAGTGTGGCCTGTCCCTCTGCTTCAGCCACATCGCTCCCCACTCCTGCACCACCGCTGCTGTCCACCCGGAAGCTGGCCACAGTCTCCCGCAGTGCGGCCTTGCAGCGGCTGGACCTGCACAGTCCACACCAGAGCTCCATGCCCCTTCTAAGGGTGGCAACCTCTGGGAGATGCCGTCTAGTTGCCAGAATAGTAAGAATTTCTAGGAAATTTTTATGATATATAAAGTTGAAGAGAAAAAAGTGAAAGCAAGGCCAGGTTCAGGGCAGTGCACTGCGGCGGCCAGTCTGGCCAGGGGCTGGCCCTAAGCCTCGGTCCCCTCTGCCTCTGCTCCAGGGGAAGCTGGAATAGTCACAGCCCAGCCTGGCCTGTGAGGGCCTCTGGCCTCCTCCCCCAGCTTGGAGACGGGGCTGCACCTGGTGCCTGGTCCCCCAGCTGCCACTCTGCCTAGACCTCCCGGGGGCAGCTGTGGGCGGAGGGCAGCAGGAAGGCCGGGGAGCAGAGGACGGGCATCCCACCTGGGCCTCCCCACCCTGGGCTCATGGGGATGGCCGCTGGGAGCAGGTGGCTGTGTATGACTTAAATTATTAAAAAGCAAAGCTGAAGCTTCTCCCACTCTGAGTTACTAAATTCTGGACCTGGCCTTCACCATCCATGGCAGGGCCTGGGCGTGTCGGAGGGAGGGTGCGGGTGAAGGGAAGGCAGGAGAGGGCCCCAGGCTAGCTTCCAGCCAGGGCAGCTGCAGGTGCCTCTGGAGCTAGTCCTTTGTCTGGGAAAGCCCTGGCGAGGCTTACAGGCTTACGCTCAGGAGAGGAATGGCTGCTTTGCAGCTGGCTGCACTGTGGTGCCTCGGCAGACTCGGATCCGAGTGACCTGGGTGGCTTCCACTAGGAAACAAGACACTGGAGGAGGCCCGTGGCTGAAGGAAAGGCGAGGGCCCTGGGGGAAAGCGGACAGTGCTGGGGGGTGGGTGCTGTTCTCCCTGCCCAAGGCCTTAGCAGAGGAGTCAGAGAACACCCGTCTCCCCACCTCTCTCCACGGCAGCATTGCAGCCTGGGCCTCTGAGGCCTCCCAGCAGGAGGGGAAGTGGGGCTGACCTGGCTGGGCTCAGGGAGAAATACCCCAGCAGGGGAGCAGAGGGGCCCGTGGAGCAGGTGCCCCGGGCTCCAGGCTGTGAATAGGGCGCGGGGGCCACCTGGGGACCCATCAAGGGCCCCTGAAGTGTAGAAACAGCCCTGCATCAGGAAGCCACCGCCTTGGCAGCTTCTGTACCCCACTTCCTGGCTTTGAGGTCACGGAACGAGAATGTTGTGAAGGCCGAGACCCTGTGCCGCTCTCTGCTCAGCCAGAATTTGCCTTCTCTGACGGGAAGAAATGGAGTTGGGGAGAGGTCAGGAGCAGGAGAGGACAGGAGCCAGGAGAGGACAGGAGCAGGTCCCTGCAGGGGGAGCCCTGCCCTGGCTCTTGTGGCTAGCCCTGCCAGGTATGGCCGGATTTCTGTCTTCCTTTTACACAGGTGGGGACAAGTTCACGACAGTGACAGGCAGCAGCCCTTGCCAGAGCAGGGAGAAGGGCCAGGTTTCCAGCCCCTGGACCAGTGGTCTAATTCCCAGGAAGCAGCTGTCCCTTCCAGGCGCCCAGCTCCTCCCTGGGCGCAGTGACCCCCGGGGCCTTAGCTGGTGCGATGGGGGGTGGTGCTGTGGCTCCCCAGCCTCCTGTCTGACCCTGGCCCGCCACCTTGCCAGGAGCTGCTAACCTAGAAGTCCTGGGCTGGACAGGGGCCTCGGTACAAGAAAGGCCTGCTCTACTTACGTGGCCAGTCTGGGGGTGACCCAGAAACATCAGACTTGCCTGGGGATGCAGAAGGGGCTGGCTCCGGCCTTAGCGTAGTGTGGACAGCCAGGGGGAGCCATCTGTGTGGCAGGGAAGGGAGGTCGAGGGAGGAGGCACACCCAAGCGGGTTTTGAAAAAGTGAATGGGAAGGCAAGGGCCGGTAAGCTCAGGTGTGGCAGGTAAATGGCTTGTGCAGAGGTGGGGTCTTCCCTGCCCCACCCCACATCCCTCCCTCAGCACAGACAGCCCCTAGGCCTGGACTGCAGGAGCAAAGTGGCACCAACTTTGCCTCAGATGGGTCCATCTGCCTGGGGGGAGGGCAAGGGGCAAACCTCAGAACCCACCGGTAGAAGCTGCAGGCCCTGGCGCCTGTTGTAAACCTCTCAGGGGCCCCTCTCCTCAGCTGCAGAGGGACCAGGGGGAGGCAGGAATGTCTTTTGCTGGGTGCCCTGGGGGTGGAGACCAAGGCCTGTTGTGGGCTCTGACCAGAGGGCGGCTATGAGCACACAGCAGGGGGCCTCCAGGGGCAGCTGCGCTGTACCGCGGGTGCTGCTGCAAGCTGGGAGTGGGGCCCGGGGCCTCCCTGCAGGCCTGAGCAGACCGCAGGTACAGCGGGTCACGGGGCGGAGGCCCTGGGTGCACGGCCCAGCCTGACACACTCTGCCTTTGTCAAGGGCCACTTCCCCAAGGTGGGGTCTGGGCGGCTGCGTACAGCGGAAGAAGAGGTTGTTGGTGAGAGCCACGGGGCCTGGAGCCCGAGGATGGGCAGGGGCCGGGCTCTAGGGCTTGGGCACCAATCTCTGCGCTCCAACGCACACACCCCACCCCAACCACCACCCTGCAGGCATGGGCGTTCTGGATGAAGTCTACCCCCTCACTTTGCCCTCAAAGAATGCACAACTGGTGGCCGAGAAGATGGGCTGGAACTGGCTGGAGGGCTGGGAGGGGAAATGGGGCAACCCAGAGGCCCCCGTGAACTGGCAGGATGAGAGGTGGGGGAACAAGTTCTCAGTGCCCGGTGTCTACGTGTCCCCAAATCTCAGGCATGATGGAGGATCTGCAGGCACAGCTTGAACTTGGGAAGCCAGAGAACCTGGGGATTTAGGAACGTGGCCATCCCTTGGCCCTGCCCTGCCCTCCGCACCCCTCCCAGAGCTACTGGGGCATTGAGCACACACTCCTGAATCCTCGCGGCAGCCCTGCGAGGGAGGCGGTCCTCCCCGGGCTCAGGCTGGTCACTTATCCAAGGTCACAAATGCAGATGACAGTGGAGGTGGGATTTGAAGCTCCGTCCTCCACCCTCCTGGGACACTCCACGGCTCGCTGGAGCCCCCCTCCTACTCTCTGTTCTGCACCAAGGACCCTGCTGAGGGCCCAGGACCAGCGACCACTGGGGCTGGGACCTTCGCCTCCATTTTCCCTTAGGGGGGTGGCCAGAGAAGGACGGGCAAATTGTTGTCAGAGCCGCCATTCTGGAGAGAGCAGGCAACCCCACTAGTGTGTGAGACCAGCATTAACAGAAGACTAGGGGGCCAGCAGGTGGTATAGTGGTTAAGGTGCTGAACTCCCACGTAGTGAACAGCTGTTCAAGTCCCAGAGTCAAGAGACAGTGCCTTGAAAATCACGTGGGGTGTGTGTGTGTGTGTGTGTGTGTGTGTGTGTGTATGCAGGGACCTGAAAGGAGAGTGGAGAAGGGACTGCAGCATGACTATCCCCCAGCGGGGTGATGTCTCATGCCCTGTAGCAAAAACCTAAAAACAAAACAAAACAAAACAATAGACTAGCAAGAAATAGGAGTGTGTTGCCTTGCACGAGGCAAGGATGTTTTGTTTGGGGAATGGCTGTGTGTTCCTGTCTAGAGCTGTAGTTTAGTGTGGCTATAGCTCTTATCTGGGGGAGGCAGAAGAAAATGCTCCTGGGGCCAAGGCCCAGGGGGCTGCTTGCTCCTCCATTCCACTGCCCAAGGCTGACGAAATTTTCCCAGACTGGGCCCTGAGGGAAGATTGATCCTAGTCCCTGTTGCCAAGAAGATCCTCATGACCGGGCGTGGAGAGCAACGACGTGACTGTGGACTTCCTGGCCCTCCAGAACAGTGTCTGGGTAGCAGGACCCCCCGCAGGCCGTACCTGGTTCCAAGTCTGCCAAGGCCCAACTGCACACATTTTCACCCACCGTCCGACTATTCCCATGCCTTTTCTGCAATGCCTGTCCACCCACCGAGCCCCTGGCAGCCTTCAAAAACATTAGGGGAGCCTGTCTTGGGACACGTCCTGCGACACCTGCGTGCCAATGCAGCCTCTCCCCTTGGCTCCTGCAGAATCCCATACTGGGGGCTCCCTGGGACTCTTCACAGAGCTGCTTCTCCCCCACAAAC